CTTTTGGAGTAAGGTGTGGACAGTTGTACAATGGCTACAAAGTGGAAAATGAAACAAGTAGTAAAAATGATCGATGAACTGTGCTTTGTAAGGGATAACAGTGACAATAGGACTGCAGAGGGCAGCACAAACTACTAGAGGCAGAAACTATGATTTGATGAAATGTAATAATGCACAACTGGCCATAGAAGTCAATCTGAAGAGTTTTTTCTATAAATTATTACTTTTTCTTTTTTTTTTTGCTAAAATTTATAGAGAGAACTGTAAGTTGAGTAGACTTCTTGTTAGTTGAAGTTTTTATTATATTACAGATTTGACCCATAAAATTCTAACTTCAGTGCTTTCATTTTTATTTTCTACACAAAATAATTTATAAATATTGTTATTTTGTATTACTAATGTTTGTAGAGAAACAAAATTATACCTGTAAGTTGAGTAGACTTCTTGTTGATTTTTGGTTTTATATTACAAATCTGATCCATAAAATTGTAACTTCATTGCTTTCATATTTATTTTCTACACAATGGTGAGAGACATTTGGCCTACAGGACTAAATAGTTGCTCTTAGTGCCACTTGAAAAAAAACTTCAAATTTCAACTATTTCGCAATTCATTTTGTCTGTGTCTGTTTGAGCCTGTTTTGTCTCTAAACGCTACGATGCTGACCTCCATGTAAGCACAGCTCAGGACAGGGATGAATCATGCATTGCTTATTAGAGGAGCTGTATATTCATCAGACTATAAAAGGCGGGCTCTCAGGGGTAACGGCTAATGCGCACAACTCACGGGGGTCCAGAACAGCTGAGCGGGTTTGCACGGGGAAGCATTTTTGCGGTGCACAAACTCCAGGAGTATTGTTGTGGCCACATACCGCGTTTGGGGAGCGAATTGGCTAAAGTAGCGTCGGTGAGAAGTAGCTTGTAATTTCCAACAAATTGGGTTATTCTCCTCTTTGTACATCTGTTTGTTAAATTCTTGTTTCGTTCAGAACAGACATTCCAACAATTAAATATTTGAAAAACTTACATTTGTGTGGGTGTAAGCTTCTGAATCTAATTTTGCAATGTGGGATAAATGAGGGATTTTCAAAGCTCACCTGCGTCCCATTGAGAGAACCATTTGTGCATACTTAATGAAAAATGTGTTTCTATACGCTTATTTAGTGGTTGGAGGCCACACTAAACCTTGGCAGAAATTTAGCGAGAAATGGTCTTGGTACGTGCAAATGTACTCTTCAAAAGTAATACTGATAATAACTGTTGCTGCCACATCAGTAGTTGTTTATGGGTCATCAGGCTTTATTCGTTTTTGTCAACATGTACATCAGAAGAAAAGGAAAACTCAAATTGGGGTTTCTTTTTTTGATCAATATTGCAAATGTGATAAGTTTTGCATTAGAAATAGGGTTCTGTTCATGAGAGAAGACTGAAATATGAGCTGACAAACTAATACAAGAATCCCATGCATTTCAGAACATGTTCAAAGAGACCAAAACTACAGGTAGAACAAAAATGTTTCTATCAACGAGACTGGATATTATGTTCTTTGCAGAGCACATTCTATTATCTAAATAATTGCAGCCTTTGAGACTAATTGCACCAACTGAAACTGTGATTTTGGTTCAATAGTAATACAATGTGCATCCCTGAAAGGAATACAACATTTAACTGAAAACATATGACAAAGGAATAAGTCTATCTTTCGTTGCCTAGATATAAAAGGAGAGGCAACTAAAGCGCAGCTAAATGAATGGATTACAATGTTGCTTAGAGCCAAAAGAGGGGCTTACTGACCCAATTACTGTCCACTTCCAGTGAGCTGTGACCCCATCCGCCCTCAGCCCTAATCCTACAAGAGATGATCTGGCCTCAACACCCGTCGGTTATTGCACTGGACAGCGACGCAAGCGTTTAACAGGGTCTCAGCTGTGACATGATTGTGAACTAATACTGCACTGAGGCTTAAAGGTGCACTGTGGAACTTTTCTGGTGGAGTGTGTGTCAGTTTATCTCCATGGAGCTTGTTTTGCCTACAATGTTGATCAGTATGGTATTATACTTATCTATCACTATCACCATGGAGATTATGAGTGGTTTGGGCATGGCCAGGACATTGCATAAGGTACATTTCATAGCTGGACAATTTTTAACAACCATTCACTTTTATTTTCACTCATGAGAGGCAATGTCACCTACACTTAACAGCACTACGTGGGTATTTGAAATAAAGCAAGGAGACATCATAAAAATATCTTCTCCTCATATTACTCACGATTTCCAAACCAATTTTTGTTTTATTAAAAGGTTCTTTCAATATTCATTTCCTGAACAAAAAGTATACAAATGTCTTAATAATTGCAGTTTAACACAAAAAAAAAGTTACATTTCTTTCCTCGAAGTTTGAACTCTGCTTCAAATCACATACATTTATGGACAGAAGACAGGCTTTAGACTCGGATAAAAAGTTCAAAACATATCCTTGACCATAACACATAACTGAATCTCAATCTCAATTCCAGTTTGACTCCATAACCCACTTGCAAAGCCTTTTCTCATCTAGACAACAATATTGGATCTCTCCTATAAAGGGCAACTGTAACTTCTCTATTGAAGTGGATTTCATTAGGTCAGATCTGATCCCTAGCTCCTTTAGCACACTCACCAGATTTACCACAATATAGCTATTTTTCACTACAACTACCACAAAAGCAATGGGGTCCTTTTTTGGAGCTTGTTACAGTGTGTAGCGAAGCAGGCACAGAATGGAGCATCAAGATATCAGGCGTGAGGGCGTCCGGTGACAGGCAGAAGAAAGTGCCATCATTTATGTGTCAACAGCAGCCATGTGGGAGGACAAGTTTATTGACATCTTGATGATCATTCTGGACCATTCTGCTTGCACTCATCGACTGCAGCCTCAACATACATTAGTGTGGAGCGTGGCCGGCCTGCATCTTTCATTTGTCAAGAGGATGGAGCAGGCTTGGTGTTGACAGTGGAATAAAGATTTGTAAACGTGGCAGCTGCCTGAGCTAATGCAGTGAGTCCGTATCCGTGTGCATTCTTAAACGTATAGTACAGGATGTTCAATGGGAAGTAGCACTGTGATTTCTAAGTCGGTGCTCATTGTCTATTCAACAAATGAATAAATCAATTGTGATGCAGCTCGCCTCTACGACAGCTTATTCCAGGAATCTGTAAGAGCCACACCAGGAATAGAAGCAATTGTGTAGGTTACAGTGCCTAATAATAACAACATTAATGTATTGTTGTGAATAAATTATGGGATATTGCTGTTTTGGTTTTTCAGCACTAGATAATACTTGCAACTACAGTTTGTTCATTTCAATGTAGATAAAGCAAGACATTGTAAATGAAAAATTATTTATTTTAAGAGTGGTAAAACCTCACATGTGTTGAAATACTAAGGGCAAACACAATTTAGGATTTAGTTTGTATATTGAAATGTCTTACACTATTGTTGAATAAAGTGAAAAATGTTCAGAGTGACTTCTATCTATACTATTGCATTTGAAAAGTGATACTGCAACAGAAAGGTGCTACTATTAATTAAATTGTGTGTAGAACAGAGCAGTTAACTTTGATATCATATTCTCATCTATTTATAGAGTTTTATACTTCATCTGTTTTGTGTATCATCTGGAATGAATACACAGAAGTGAGAAGCCTAAGATGCTTTACCTTGCTATACAGAATCATGAATTATTGTTGTTATTTTTTAAGAGCGACCCCTTCCCACTCCTGTCAATACAGAAGTGGATTATCAAACACTATAAAAAATGAGCTGTTGGGATTATCGACAGAAAAGTTGCCTCATCAGCGTTTGTATTGAGCATTACGAGGACTTAGGACGGTGGGTGTGAACGGGATTAGCGTAATTACTGTTATTATATTCTCAGTGTAAAGGCTATCACATGCCTTAGCTGTGCCGGAGCTCTTGACAGTTAAATGAAAAATATGCCCTGCTGATATGACCCTGGATGATTGAACCTTTGCTCTGTGGCGCATACTTTTCTTTCACTTCAGCTCAGAAACCTTGAATCCACACACCTTCAGAAGTGTCTTTTTATAATAGCCAATGGAGATTTGGAGCTTTGGCATCACAGGGCCAATGATCCAACCTTGCCTGGGGCCAGACTTTGCACCTGTCCGGACATGTATGTTTGCAAGAGGTGAAAGTATCTCTCTCTCGCTGTACCTAAAAAAAGGCATATGCTAGCAGGGGTCCCTCAAGTTGTATGGTAGGCAACAGGGACTGAGAGAAAACCTGGAGAGTAAACCTGCCCAAATCCTCAAGAGGCCAGTCCCTTAAGATAATGGCTCTGAGGTGTTGTTTACCACTATGGTCCAGTCACTCTTACCCTATATAGGCTGCTGACTGCAAAAGCAACCATAACATACCTACAACATATTGCATTCTAAATTAAAAATCAGTCGACTGAGGAACCTGATACATACATTATGGGATTTAGATCTGATTTCTCCATGCTGCTGACCTTCCAGGAACATCCCTGTGGTCTCTTTTTCCAAGGTAAAGAAGGAGTCATCTTCTTAAAATACCATTAATCTAACAATAAATACATCTAAATATGTTTATAGAGGTCTAAACTACAGGAACAAATAAATAAAGAAATAAATACATTTGTATATTTTGTTATTTGCTAATCTTAAATAATTGCAGCCTTTGTGATTTGAGAATTGCCCCAACTCAAACTGCAGTTTCGATTTGACTGCAATATATGCTACAGCTCAACATTAAAACCTAAATCAATCCAGAGTCAAAGCTCAATTACAATTTTACTAACTCTGTCAAGTGACTGGTGACAGCACAGATTTATGACATCATAAAAAGTGGGCTTGTTCTTTACTGGAAATAGAAAGATGTTCCTGGAACGTTAGCAACAAATCAGATCATGCTATCAAAGACAGCGGGAAGACATTTTGAAATTAAGCTCTACACAGGGGTATGTGAGTTCTTACCGTGAGCTGGATCAGGTGGGCCAAACTCCAGATTGTATCTCAGGACGTAAAAATTATTCCATACATAGAGCTGATTATCTCTGGGATTGTAATCCACTGCAGCGATGTACTGGTACTGGTTGGGAAAGTGGATGTCTACATATTCCCCGTGGTTCTGTTTGGTGTTGTAAATATAATCAATCAGGCTCTTGCTGACTTCACTCTCATTATCTTCGTAGGTCGAGCGCACTACATACAAAACTCCACAGATCATGAACGCGTTGGAAGCTGAGCGTTTGTCATAGGCCGTGTCCCAAGTTGCCTCGAATCGTAAGGTGTAAGGGTTCAACTGACTGATCACCATCATGCCGTTGTTCTGCTCCGTGGCGTAAATCACCCAAAGGCCATTTTCATCCACAGCCAAATCGATGTCCGTCTTTCCGCCCCACTTGTACGGCGATGTGTCATGGTAATTGGCGTTGTTGATGATGGCTTCTCCACTTTTGATTCGAGTCCGCAGGTCAAACTTCACAATGTTGCGCGTACGTTCCTTATTGAAAAACACAGCGCCGTCGTAGACCACAAATCCAGTTCCGTCTACTCGGTGGGGCAGTTTGTACGTGATAGTTTGCCTCGCGTTTTGGAAATCATCCAATGAGGAGTATTCTATTAGTGTGTCTGTCCTATAAGGAGTCCAAGGCATGAAGTAGATTTTATCACCGGCTTGAAGGGGGTCTTTACACCAGGCGCCGGCTTGTTGCTCCGCTTCAAACAGAAATGAAGGATCACCAACAGCTTTCAGAGTCCCAGGACAAAGAAAAACTAGTGGTGGAAGAAGAGTAAAATAAAAAACAATACAGGTTAACATGTGAAAAGAAACCCATTATAATTTGCATCTAAACAATCATGTTAATCTCTATGTCCAGTTTGTTTAGCAGGTCCATGAGGAGTGGGGGACAGACACACATTAAAAAGTGGCCAAAAACACAACTAACACTATAGCCAATAATTAAAAAAAAAGTATTACAAGGTGTTTGGCATTGTGCATAGAAAGAAAAACAGAACTAGAAGTTATTAAGCAGAATGTGGATGTATATATAGAGGTATTACAAAATCTGAAATAAAAAGAAGCCTCAAAGACATCTACTGTTGGGAGTAAAAACAGAAATAAGGGAAAAAACTAAAATAAAAAATACAGAAAAAACATTTGGTCCTGTGAACAAAAAATACTGCAGCCAACTAAAGTCACTTGGCAACAAGACGGGAGAGGTTATGAAAGAGCAGGAGTCACCACAGTCTGAAAAATGTATACGCAGAGTTGTATCTGTAGCACCACCTTTTTACTATAAACCTGTGGTGTGTGTCATTGTCAAGTGGTGAAAATTTTAAGAACTACTAAAGAAGGCAAGTTTGTATATCTGCTGAGGTGGTTTTGGTTGTTGGAGGCATTCGTCTTGACAGAGAAGAAAGCAGCAAGTGGTCAGGTGTGGAAAAATGGGGAGAAGAGTGAAGAGATGTGGGCTCAAGGAGGAAAAATAGGGACAGTAGAAAGCAATAGGCTTTGAAGAACAAGGGCCAAGAATCACTGTTACCATGGCATGCTATGGAGGAGGGTTTGAAAGCCAGGCAATATGAGAGATTCTGCTGAGTAGCAAAAAGCACCCAGGGAGAATGAGAGAAGGAAGCCCCTGTGGACCGCAGCCAACATGCCCCCATTTACATTTTTGGCTGCTTCTGTGCTGTCTTTGCAATGACCAGACTCACTTCCCTTGATGCACTACAAAAGGCGTTTTAGCATTACAGTCGGGACCAATCTGGAGATAGTCTGTGATGGGCTGTAGGGGCCACCATGGGAGAAATAGGAAGTTTACAACCAGATGCCACAAAACAAGGAGCTAGGGTTTGGATCGTGTCTGTTATTTACCTTTTTGCTCCACTTCTATTTTAAGCGTTGGAGAGAGAATGAAAGGGGTGCAAGGGAAAAAGAAGAGATTAATATGAATTAACTACTAGAGCTATATGATTACATATGCAGAAAAACGTTAGGAGACATTGACAAAGTCCAGGAGACCTATTTAGAGAAGGTAAGGTATTAGTGAGATACAAGGCATTCAACTGCCAAGGCCGTGTATATTATCATGTGGTCATCATCAGTACATGAAAGGTTTACAGTGGTGTGAGGCAGGATCATTTAAAGGTCTAATATTAAGCAACTCCTGACTCTTGTGAGCTTTTAGCCTTGTTATATAATACTGTTACCTCATCAAACATATACTTGAAGTTGTGTTTAGGTTCATTCATACATGTTTGAGTAACCTTTCATTGTTATGCTGTCTACTTCACCAAAGCTTAAAATACTCCGTTCCACCTTGTTATGCCCTGTAGTGGTAGTTTTCAAGTTAACAGCTACCTTTTACCTTTTGTTCAGAGATGGGCAATACTCAGGCTGACATTATCCAAATGATTCTAGTGAAGGTACATGGATTTAAAACACAGGGGAGCACTTCCTATGTTACCATATGACATCACAAGGTGAAACAGGGTGTTTTTAGATTGCGAGAAGAACTAATCCTAAATATGCAGGATTTGTGTGTTTAAAATGTGTGAATGAAACAAAACATAACTCCAGGTATGTTTTTGATGAGAAAACAACATTATAACAAAAATTAGAAAACAGCATAATATGGGCCCTTTAACTGCTACTGCTATGCTTGACTTTCCTTATGACTTTCCAAGCATACTGGTTTTATACCTTAACATTACTGTGGATTTAACATGGCACACAATCAGTACAATTAATTATTTTAACTGGGTGGCAGATTGTCCATTGCAAATAATAATGACATTTCTTTGGGCTTTTCCAATCAATTCAAGTCAACTTTATTAAGAACGCAAAGCATCGGGGCCATAGAGGATGTCCAAAATATGACAAGAATGTAATGACTATGAATTCAATATTCATTCTGTTCTTTTTACATGGGTACTACAGTACAGTAACTTAAGTTGGCGTTTTATGCGATCTGAAATAAGGATAGACACGCACTATACTGCTGTTGACATAAAGATTACCAGTTTTGTATAATATAAAAGTTTTGTATAATCTATTTAAAGCAATACTAACTAGTTGTCACTCTGATATATTTTGTGGACTTCTAAATTGGTTATTTAAACAAGCCAAAAAATATTTATCATTTTAACAACATGAAGTTAATGTGAACATGCTAATCCACCCACCACTGTAAGCCTTCCATTGGAGCGGGCACCAAAAAGGAATTAATAAATTGCTATGTTTGTAAAATGCAATTAGACCACAAGAAGCCAAATCTGGCTTGGTTTTGCCATTTTAATTTACCAACTTTCTACTTGGCCTTATCAAGAAAACAAGTAATCAGTGTTAATCACTGGACCAAGCTCCATTTCTAAAGCACTTGGCAGTTGAAACATGGATTAATTCAGCAATAGAACGTAATTAGTCTTTTTTTTTTTTTTTTTTTTTTTTTTTTTTTTGTCCTTTTGTGTGCAAGGCTTCCATACATTATAAGAAATATTTAACAAGGCACTCATTTAAGTTTGCTAAAACTCTGCCAAGCAGTTAATCAGAACTATGAGGTTACAAACTAAATCTGACTTTACTTCTCATATATTAACATGTAATATCGAAACAGACAAACAGCAAAACTAAAATTCTACATGAGACAGTGTATGTTACAGACATGCCCGGTCAACCCACACATCATCTACACATTTGGCCCGTTTAAATAACTTATTCACTTTTAATGCATTTCATATAGCTTAATTTATGAGAATGCTCAGGGAAAAAATGTTCTGTTGCTATTGCTGTTCCACAATCATAATTTACATAATTTGCTGTAAACTTTTTAGGCTCCACTCATTTTGGACTTTGAAGCTTTCAAATACTAATCTGTTATATTACAATTTCCACTGAAGTCACTGGTTTCTCAGACTATAGCTCATATGACTTTAAATTACCAACTGCAGAAGAAAGCAGCATTTTTATTGTCCCAAAATGCTTCAAATTAATTAAATGGATGTGTAGATTGACCCAAGCTTTAGGGAGAAAAGAAAAGAATGTGAGTAAAATGCAACACAAAAGCAGGAGTTCTGCCAAGGAAACTCAACGGCCCTGTTAACAAAGAGATTGTGAACAAGCGCACAAATTAAACTACTGCAGTGTCCTTGACGATAAGACAACAGGCAAAGAAACCGTGAGCATCTGAAAGGGAAAGCACGAGACATGGCGAAGGACGTGGTGACGTTAGTAGACATGTAAAGAGCGGAGCAGTGGAATCAGAAAGGATCTCAGAAAGGTGATGAGGCTTCCTGAAAATTGCACAAAGGAAGGGAAGAAAAATCAGTAGTTTAAAATAGCAACATTCAAGAACAGACATGGCACAACCCAGCCCACGCCAACCATAAAGAACTCAAAATCACAAGACATTAAAGGCTAGTCTACGTGAGATGCTTCGTGGGATTCTGCAGTCACACTATTGTTTATAGAGACGCGAACTACGATATAAAGGGGAGTGCGAACTGTACGTTACAAAGGGTTACTGACATTTGATGTAAGATGAGATATTTAGCATCGGGGACTGCGTGCCCAATGACTCAAGTTGGTGTTTTATGCGATCTGAAATAAGGATAGTTGGGGATTATTAGGTCTTGCTATCTGAACATAGTGAGCGCTGAACAACCTTAATAAAGAAACATCTTGACTTTTATGTCGTCTGATTTGTGCAATTACTAGGGCCAATTCAAAAGGGTGAGTCAGTGCCAGGTGGAAGCGCATTTTACATCCTTGGCTTGAACATGGAGATAATGTTGCTAATGAGGGCAGTTGATGACAGGAACTGAATTACAGCCCCAAAACGGTAGAAAATGTTGGCCGTTTCTTTGCAATTTGAATCTCCAGGAATTGCACTAAGACTAGGTTTATTATTTATTAGTGTATAATAAAAATAACATCTGCTACTGTGGTAAACTTCTGGGTAAATTTATACGAGACAGATGCAATGGCAGTTTCTTTGGTTAAGAAAAATAAAATAGGGCACTGTCTAGAGGCTTGTCGTTGATCAGCTTAATAGGGATTTAATATGTTTTCTTACAAAACAACTTCTCAAGTCTTGTATCCAAAGAAAATCCGCTAGATCCTAAGCTGCTAGACCCCACTGCTACGGTGTTAGTTGTAAAACCTAAAAGGTGCACTGTGTAATTTTCTTATAATGATTATTTGTATTTTTAATGATTGAATTTTAATTTGGCTTTCGTGAAGCGTTTTGAATTACTTACTATGTTCTTGTTTGCCTAGGAGGTTCCACAGTATGGCATTCAACTTATCTCCGTAGAGACGCATAGGTTGCATCCCCAAGCCAAGTTTGATCTGTGGAGAGGCAATCGCACTCATGTTTTGGAGAAACTTTTTAAGCACTAAAAACACCCATGAGACATGTTTAATGCAATGCTGTGGAACATTCAGGCACAGTAATAGCACCTCCATGGAGACAAGCAGGTGATGAACTCTACATCAGTAAAGTTACACAGTGCACCTTTGATATTTGACAATAATATGGCACTAAACGCAATTTCTTTTGGAAAATTTTGACGAAATACATCGGTGAAAACTGGAGATTGGTAAGGGGCAAATCATATGAGGACTGCCTATAGAAAAGACAATATAGAACGGGACATATACTTGGGGCTTGAGGGGGGAGAAGTGGACTGGACTGGGCTTGTGTGGACTGAATCAGACGGGGAGAACACTAAGCACTTACCGGGGCAGTTGCGATACGAAACATTCTGAGTTCTTGATCCTATTCTGGTTGGGCATGGACCTTGAGAAGCATAAAAAAGACGGAGGGGCTACAGACATGCATTTCTGAAACTTTAAGTGAGTTGGAATTGGACCGGCTTGCAAGTTTGGCCAGGGCACAAAGTCCTTGGGCAGAAGATTAGTAAGTGTGCAAAAAAAATAGTGGCAGAATACAATGATGATAACAGTAGGTGGACGTAAAATGCACCTCTGGGCTAATCCTGCTATTAAGGCTTGAGGTAGCAAGACATAGAATCGATACTGCACTTATGAGACATTCACTCACAAGTCAGCCAAAAACACTAGAAGTAAAGGGCGCTAAAATTGGGCCCGCTCAAAAAGGTGACTTGGAATACTTATTTCTTATTCCAGTTTTAATTACAGGTGCTCAAAGCCTTGGCGAGGTTAACCTTTAAGGTGTAATGAGTTTCCCCATCTAATGGTGTTCACTAATGTGTTCTGATTTAGCTGTAAGGGAGATGTACTCGGACAGCTTGGATAGTAATGAGCAGTCTGGGATGTGTGTTGCAAAAGGTTGAAAATGTTATTTATATACAGGCTTTATCTTATCTATAGATATAACTAAATACTATTTCACTGTCATATCAATAAAAAAAAAGGCTCGAAATAACTATCTTGTAAATGTTACTTAAGGCGTGAGTCAAAATTACACATTCAAAGCTTAAAGGACAAAGAGGTGTTTAATTGAAAGGGCAGACTAAATGTTATTTGTTGGGTGATTTGGGGATGAATAATTTAGCATGGGACGAGTGGAGAAAATGGGTGAAATTATCAACTTGTTGACTTACAAGTGCAAGCCTGTTACATAATGAAACATCTGTGCGCATATCGGAACACCTGTTGTATGGATGTATATTAAGACATCATGGTAACTGCTTTTTCTGCCTCATAGACTGACATTGGCCTTCCCTTCTATTCTACCCATTCCTATAAACAGGCTTGTAGGTCCAGGCTGAAAACACGGTGAGTACATCAATAATAGAAGGCAGTACAGAGGAGGACCAAAGGCTTTCACAGGTCATATTTCATGAAAAGTTCATAGTGTGACACAGATGAAGGACGAGATGGGGAGAGAAAAAAAAATATCGCTGGAAGGTGTTGCGAGAGTGTCTGGACGAGGTAAAAACGGCAGAAAAAATTGAAATAATGACTTATAGGAGAACAGAGAAGAAGCCGGTGGAGTTAATAAAAGACAAATTAAGGAGCAGTGAAGGGAATGGTAAGTGAGGTGGTGTACAAATCATGACAGGAGGCTATACTTACTGTAGGGGACACACTCATACTGGACCTCCAGGTACTTGTAGGTTCCTGGACAGGGGTCAGGGAAGACGTCCGACCCTGTGATTACAATGCACTGGGTTCTATTGTTGCATCTGGAAGAACAAAAAAACAAACAAAGAAATTATAGAATGTGATGTATGTTCTATAGAAATTACCTGCAAGAAAGTCAACAAGCAGATTTGTAATACCTATGAATGTCTTTATTTACCCAGACTGAGCAATGACAGTGAAAAATAAACATGTGTATTCGGTGCATTCAGAAGCCACATGTGTTACACCAGATGGCACAACCCACATTTTAAAGGGTCCATATTGCTCTATTTTCTGATTTATGTTATAATGTTTTGTCCTCATCAAAAACATACCTGGAGTTGTGTTTTGTTTCTTTCACATATGTTAAACACACAAACCCTGCATATTTAGGCTAAGTTTTTTTCTCTCAGGCATAAAATACTGCACCCTGTGATGTCATGTGGTAATACAGGAAGTGCTCCACTGCGTTTTTAAACTCTATACACCTTCACTAGAATCTTTTGGATGATTTCAGGCCTAGAATTGACCATTGACCAAAAGTAGATATAAACTATCGCCTCGTGACATCACAATTTGGAACAGAACATCTTGCGTTTTGAAGATCTAGATGGATTAATGTATGTGTGTGAATAAAGTAAAACACAAATCCAGGTATGTTTATGAGGAGAAAACATTAAAATCTCACAAGAGTCAATTTTGTTGAATATAGGACCTTTAATCTAGGTTTGGGATTGATCAGCACATTCAAACGGTTTTAGAATTTTCCTGCCTCCTCGAAATAATTCATAATATATTTTTGTTATTGTACATATACTTTGTTCAGATTTGTATTTTAAGGGTTGTCACATCATGTACTCAGTGGGTTGATGTGACATTCTTTTACTTGATCATTTAAGTCTGCACCTAGAACCAACTCACCATTTTATTTTCTTCTGTCCATTTAATGCTGGATTCAATAGAAATAACTCATGCAAACACCTATTAATAAAGGTGAGAAGGAATTCTCAGGCAGCTGCATTTACAGGGAAACAAAGGTGCAGTGAAGTGCTTTTACCACAAGCTGCAGCTATCCTATTTAGCGTGTTAGCATTGAAGCCAGGGTCAGTGCTTTTCACTCAGACCTCAGCTGTGTTCTCCTCTGTGTGAAAGATAGGCTCTGTACACCTCTCCAAATTTTTCTCAAGAGTTCAAATCACAGCTATTAGAATGTGCGAGTAAATCATGTTTATAATATCTAGCTATAGTATTAGACAATATATGCGTTGATTGCCAATTCACTGTGTGGTAGACAGTGTATGTCGTTTAATTAATGGAAGCTCTTGGATTTAATCATTTTCATTATAGATGCTGCTTTGCTGCCACATAAACCCATCGAAGGACAGAATATGATGTAAATCCTTGAGCCTCAGGAAGACTTTATGAAAATATCATGAGGATAAGTTTGTAGATATTTAAGCGTGATTATACCAAGCTGGTGTTTTCTGAATTATACTTTTTTAATTAAAGCATACATTTTAACTTGAGCTTTGAAAACATTGCACAATGTACCAAAGGAATATGTGAACAACTGTGGATAAGAGGCATTGTAGTGAAGCCGATGCAGTGACGACCCCTGTGCTGGACTGAACCATGATAATGACATCAATACTGTGTGCTACCACTGGGACTTAAAATTCTATTGGCAATGTGAGGAGGCCGATCAATAAGTATGTTCTGCTGATTTAGCAGGGGCCTGAGAGAATATTTGTGTCTTATGACAGAGCAGTGTGTCCACTCACAGTGGATCATTAGAAAATGTATTACTGTGAACAGTGAGTGCGCTGGCTTTGTTTTGGGTTGCTGAGGTAATCACTGCTCAGTGTCCACATGTTATTAATATAATATTAGGTGTTTTAGCACTGGTTACTCTGGAGGTGTGGGCAACAGAGCGCAGACAAAAGGCCAGAAATTGGTGTTATTTTGGCTCTAAAACAGCTACAGCTGCATGGCACCTTTGTGTGCAATGAATCATTAAGTAAAACACACTGGCTGTTTTCACCAGGCAACAAACAAAAATGTTTTAGAATGATTAAAAGAAGATATTAGAGATTTGTAAGTAAACTCCTGCTGTTTCTTTACAAAGAAAACAAAGACATAAAAGATATCAGGTCAGATGATTCATATCAATGTATTTGTTATTATTTTCTTTCATGTTTTTGTAATGTTTGTTTTATTATAATTTTCGTTCTTTCAAGCATTAAATTCCGTGTCTGAATAACTTTAAGAAGCATAACTTGGATTTATTAGGGCCTTTTTGAATATTATGACATTTTTCCTCATGTAAAGAATACCATATAAACAGTCATCAGATCCATTTGGGAAATGAAGACATACTTAATATTACTTTTATGACAGAAAATAAAATCAAAATTCTAATTTATGACACTAATGAGACAAAGATGTTGCCAGCAGATGTCTTAAACAACAGCACATAAGCTCAAATGGCTCATATTTCTTTCAAAGCAAAGTTGACATAAGCGTTGATAGTGCTCTGTGATGGATGGCCCTCATTTTGGCGCAGTGCAGCCGGAGTGTCCTGATCTATGGCCATGTGATTCCATCTCATTTGTGAAACCTCAGGCTCCTCGTGAGACCAATAGAAACAGGCCCAAATAGCTTGTACTGTGCCTTGTGTTAGGTCTCAATTTACAAGTGTGTGCATATAATTGTCAGTTCATTTTGGGCTTGTTGTCAAAGTACATGCTAATTAAATAAATATAATGTAATGGGTTGCAATGAATGTGAAGTAAAATGAGGCTGTTGCAATTTTGCTCCATGGTGAAACCAATTGTTCAGCTGCTTTTTATAACGACAACAGAGCCAAATGTATTCAAGAAAATAAACGTTGAAAACAACTGCTGTTCTGTGATAAATGGAAAACATTTAGTAAGTGAGCTTTGAACAATCAGTTTGACATTACATAAAATTGTACTGGTTGCCATGGGATGACCATTAAGCCCAGCTAAATTTAGACTGATTTGAAAAGCCAAAAGGTTGTTTATGGCTGCTCCCTGTGTGCCCTCTAATAGTTCCCTCACAGACTCAATTTGACTAAAGAATCGCTGCAGTGAAGACAATCGCTGTGTAACTGGAGCACAGAGGCGGCATGAGTGAGGGCAGCGCATTACGGCAAAGGCACAATCTACTTCCTGGTGCTCCCAGTTAGAATTTCAATCAAATTAGCGTCTCTTAAACTCAAAGTGACCCGTCTGGCTCCATTTCATCTGAAATGCTGATGAGGTTCATGGCACAATTATCAAGGCAGACATCTCTCTCAAGAGGCAAGCCTGTTGATAGCAGACAGGCCATTGAAAAATTAAATCATTTCCAGGGCCACAGTGATGGCAGCAAAGAAAACAGTCGAGGTGAGTACACACGCCATATAACACACACACACACACACACACACACACACACACACGCATTATACACACACACATGTATCACACGTGCAATCACTGGCAGCACCAGTACACTTTGTGCTGTTTCTCTAGTGGTGCCTCAGTCCAGTTCAGGAAATAGGTAGTTAGGAATTAACCATTCACATTCCACTTGACTCTGGCCCAATATTGGATTAAGGCGTTCAAGAATGGTGTAATTACTGTCATATGCTGGAGTCAGGACTATATTTATTACTGAGGAGGGGGACTTCAGGACGGTCCTGTCGGACTCACATCCATCACTTACACCTATTGATTTTTAAACTAGCTGAGGTATAATCCATGTTACTAAAGTCAAAGGGATTAGTCCAGTGACATTTGATGGAATGAGCTTAAAGCATGTTTAGTATGAGAGAGGCGTCATGTTTAGTATGAGAGAGGTAGTTTGGGCAGAAAGGTTGTATTACTTATATATTTGCATTATATCATGTTAATATGATGTCATACCCCAAAAGTTTAACATTTGTTATGGGGTTCTGGTTGTATTGTCTAGGACAGAACTGTTTTCTTTTTGAATTTTTTTAATCAAAATATTGCCTCACCCACAAAGGTAAAATGGCCACTGTCCCCTTACTTTTTTTTTAACAAAACTCTGAACAAGTATAACATGTAAAACCAAGGAAATGTGACTAAAAAAACAAAAAAAACATTGTACAAAATGCAAAAGTTAGTGTAAGCTTCCTAGCATCCCAAACCTACAACAGACCCTGACCAAAGAGCGTTTGAGTTATTTGAGAATGAAGCCAGGTTTAATGGCTGGTGAACTTGTGAATGTCCCAGTGAAACTCATCAGCTCTTTATAAAATGTTAATCTGCAGAGCTTTAAATAAACACTGAGGTTGTATGTAGGGAGAGCAGGAACAAGGCAGAGTGCTGTCAGGCGGACACACTGTGCCTCCTCTGAGAGCCATGCAAGCAGTCCTGTCACTGATATAAATAGTGTTCAGGCAGCAGTTAGTCTGCTGCACTGAGAAACACAGCACAATATTGACTGTGGCCTGGTAAATGTTAAGACGATTCAAGCTAAATAAATATAATTTAAATAATCCAAACTACAATGGGGAATGTTCAACAATTCCTACTTATTTTTGACAGAAAACTTACAAACTAGAAACATTTAGACTAGAGAACTGACTCGAGAGATCAAACTGCTTTAAAATAATACAGACAGTAGTAGTAGAAGAAAGAAGTAGTTTGTTTTTTTTCCGGTGTAAAATATTCTGGGTTTATAAAGCCCAGATTTGGATGTTACACCACAACACTTTTAAAAATGCACTGTGTAAATTTTCAGGTGGAGGGTCCATCACCTGCTTGTCTCCATGTTGATGTTATTGCTTTGTACTGAATGGTTTAAAATATCAATCTTGCTTTTGCACAATTACATTTTTATCAACTTAAAAACATGAATTCTTCTGTGACTGACCTGTAACTTGGCCTTTTGGCATCATTTGCTTGTGCTTGCTTGAGTCAAATAAGAGTAATGTGCATACTATGGAACATCCAAGCAATGCAAAAACATCTCTATGATGACAAGCAGGTGACGGACCCTCCACCAGAAAAGTTACACAGTGCACCTTTAAGCGCTAACTGCAGCGTTTTCTTCTATTCTGACCGGATTCAGCGACTATGTGAAAAATGGATATTCTCATTATATTGTGCTCTGTGTCATTTTCCATTCAATTTTCTGCAGTCATTTAGTGGCATATCTGCATTGATCACAGTGTCTGTCATATGCTCTTTGGATATCGCATGAGGCAGGGTGGTGGCAGGGACCGGCCATGTTATATTACAGCAATCAATGATGTTGTTATCAAATACTTAGGCTGAAGCTCATTAGTCAAGAAAATCCATAGATGTGGGTCACTTATTCATATTGTATATCCTAATGTGTTTGCTCCAGTGACAATGATCAGTGAAGACGCACCGCTCTGCTCTCTGCTCCTGCTTACGGCTTCCTACAGGCTGCTAATATAATGAAACAATAACAACTAACCAGATGGGCAAGTGTGTACGCTGTGCACTAAGAAATATGATTGCAATACATTTTTTCATTGCGTTTAAAGTGTTTTCATCAGTGGCCGCAGTTGTTTCCATTATCATTAGTGCTATTATGAAGCCAGATATGTAATTATTTAAAAATTCTGGGGAAAAAAAAAACAAAAAATGTAGGGGGGGTATGGAAAAAAAAATCTTCTCGCTGAATATTATTATCATTGAATTAATTATTTCAAAGTCTTGCAGTTTCACATCTGCCGGGGAGGTGTCCATGTGAAAAATTCCTCCACAGATTATCACCCACTTGAGTCGACTAATTGCTTGCAGCTGAATGTTCTAATTGAGCCACAACAGTCCTAGGGCTATTTTCATAAAAATCATTGTGCTCATGAATATAAAATACCAGCCAGATATAAAAAAGGAAAAAAAACAATAAGAAAAAAAAAACAAGCCAGTGTGCCAACAGGATGTTTCAAACGCAACGATGCCTCAATCCAATTCTCCACACTTTAGGACCACATCAATTTCACATGCTTAAAAGTGAACACAGCTTTCCACAAGTGCTAATGTGATTTTCCCCCACACACGCGCTGAAAATTAACAGGCCGGGGTAATTATGGCAACAAATAATTTTAGCCTCTTCAATCCGTTAGTAATGGAGACGGTACAGTAGATATGTTTTCTCCCTGTTCAAATTGCATATGGGATGATACAGCTGCGTGGCGTGCTTTGTTGATGGATAAAATTGGGAAATAATGTTGTCATATAGAGGACCTTGGAAAATGAAGGCAGATATTTCTCTTCAACAAAACGTCTGTGTACTTTATTATCACTATTTTCAGTCCAAATCGCTGAAATCACGTAAAAGAAAATAGCTGTGTGTTTGTATATTGTGGTGTAAAATATGACAAGTAAGACTTGTAAGATTTACCATAGTTCAAAAAAATACAAAAACAGAAGCTGTGAGCTGACACATCATTAGAGCCATTTTAGGCTTACTAGAAACTGGTTTTAGTCGTGGGATCTGGCAACCCTATGTGAAGACCTCATTTGGCTTTCTGGTTGATTGTTTTCAATTGGTTTGAAAAGCAAGACAAAATGTAGACAAAAATAAGTCTTACACCATGTAGCTGTTCTTGTAAATGTGAATAAACACAAAGAATTACTAGCAAAATAAATATTTGATTTTAACTTGATGAGTTAATGAATACACAGATATTTATAATAGTAGTTAAACAATCTCAAATGATGTGAAGAAGAAAAATCTACTAGAAGAATCCAGTATTCATTGCTAAGGAGCAGTGTTTTGCAAGGCGTCTGGCATAAAACAAACTGTCATGTTCCAAAATGACAAACTGCATTTTAAGAAACCATAGGATGTAGTAAAAGTTTTATGGCAATTATAAAAGGAAAAAATGCAAAGAACATGTCCCAGATGTAGTAAACCCACTCTGGCATTTCAGCATTAGTATTGCACAGCTCTGCTCTCTTTGGAAGCCAATATGTTTCACTCTCTGGATTTTGAGTGTGAATAATTCCGCCCACACACCTGAGAGACCTTTCATATCCAGTAGCTTTCTTTAAAACACACACTTCTCATGTTGTTCAAATAGTACAATAGCTTTTTCAGTGACATTGAAATGCCAAAATATATTTAAAGTAACTTCTGATCTAGGCCCCTGGCTTTTTAAGAAAATGGATGAGATTTGAGTTTTCCATAAAAGTGGTTCTTGACCTGTCCAACAGATCCTCTTGTAGGGCTACTCTACGCCCTAACCCACTTTGTTTTAGAGCATTACAACATGTATAGATGAAACAGCTCTTGTTCTTCTTGTTGCCTTTTGTGAATGAATTACATGCATTACTCTATTTTCCTCATTAGAAACATACCTAGAGTTGTGTTTTGTTTCATGTGGTAATACAGGAAGTGCTTCACTGTGTTTTTAAACTCCATACACCTTCACTAGAATCATTTAGATGATTTCAGCCCTGGAATTGCCGCTCTCTATTGAGCAGGATGCAGAGAGACTAATAATAAAGGATTATGTGATTATGTGTGAATGAAACTAAATCTCTGGGTATGTTTTTGAGGAGGTAACATTACAACAAGGCTTAAAGCGGACAAGAATTGATTTTGTGTAATATATGACTTTTACACATACATTCAATAGTATTTATTTAACTATAGGACAATGTAATTTTATATGACTATAGTGTAAAAAAAACCCACAATTCCTACACTCCTAAACTTTCTATACACTACAGGAACTTGACATAAAGACAGGACAGGTAAATATTTTCTGACCTGGTGTGAAAAGTTTGAGAACTACTCGTCTGTAAAGCTCGGTGAGAACTTTTTTAGCCCTGGATTTTGTCGAGTCAATAAGAGCGGCACTGGGCAGACGGGTTTAGCATTAGCGCACTAGTTATACGTTGGACCACAAGTGAGAAAAGAGCTATCCGCGTTCATCAAACCTGGCTTGACAATAAACCCCTGCATACAACGCCTCTTATTTTTTTATTTCCCAGGATGCATTTCCACAGACATGCTGACATTCCTGGAGCGGGGCCAATATCTCTTTCCCTTTCTCTCATATGACCCTCCATCTACTGTATTTTGGGCTCTGATGGCATCTCTGTACGCGACAACTGCTCTCGTGTCTAAGGTCTCATGCAGATGGTATTGCTCGTGGGGCAAGTCCGTACACCTTGGCGGCTGCGGGGTTGACTTTCCGCCTGAAATAATCCTGGTTTTGAGTGATGGCGAGGGGAGAGAGGAGAGGAGAAAAGCTCAAGGCTCGGGGTTGGATGTCAGTGATCAATCAGTGGGAGTTTAAGATGTATGAGGCGTCTTAAGAGTGCGCCCTGCCAAAGAAGCTGCCCTTAATCTGACCAAGCAGGATTTAACACAGGCTAAAAGAGCATCATTTGAATTTAGGGAAATGTGTTTGGAATAAAGACCATGTTGTGCAATAGGCAACCACATTTAGATTAGGGAGAGAGGGATGTATAAAATAGTATTGGGGAAATTGTGTGGAGAGCTGTTTTTTATATGTCCTGTTTAATGGTTTTGCCTTCTTTTTATAAGTGACATTTTGAGGACATTTGACCATTCAGAAGATCGAATATTTGGTTTTGAATTGTCAATTGCTACGGCATCCAAGCTACTTTTTCATCACGCTGCAGCCCATGGATATTTCTATATGCTAAACTGAGCTTTTTCGCTTTTGAGCATATAAAAATAATACTAGAATCTTATAAATACCATCTTTAAAGTTGTGTTTTGTGTTTTATTTGACTCATCACGTTTCAGTAATTATGTATATTGAGATTGTCTCTCTTGCCTCTGCCATATACATCAGCATGTTGTAATTATTGAAGCTCCTCTGTGTTTTTAAAATTCATGCTCTTTCACTTTATCTGATCATGCTAGCGCTCATCTCGTGTGAAAATGGATTTTGCTTTTTGCTTTATACAAACTACTGTACTTTCCAAGGTGCCCGGAGATGCAGTTTTGTATAGCCAAATGTCATGCTAAGTAAGGCTTTGAGGTATTTCCAGGACGCATACATTAATACAGCAACTATCGGGACTATAGTGCCCAAAGTACTTTTAAGGGTCGTTAATTTTAATACACAATTCTTTAAAAAATACAATCCATTCCCAATGTGCAGCTAAATAAAGCTTAGAAACGAAAGGATCTTGGTATTACTCGTTTGTAGTGAATTGCATAATAGTGTACTACCCAGAGAGAGCAAGTGTACCATTAGTGCCAGTATGATGAATGAAGAGGATTGTATGAGAAAAGGGCATCTGGACTAAAGCCTCTGCCACACCAACATTGCACTAGGAAGCAGGTTATTTGCTGCTCAATTCTTTCCTCTATTTTAATTTAATCAAACTGACAAACTGCAGTTATTTTCTCTGCAGTTAGAACTCCAGTTTGCTATTTTTGATGGAATAAATCAATTCAGCATCGCCTGCTATTACAGTTTTTGGCAGATGTTTTTCTACCAAAGGCGAAACAAATGTAAAAGGTGTCAAAAGCCATGGAATTGCAACTATTGACAAGTGCCCAAGTCTGTAACGCCCAGAGGTGAATTTCATATTAAAAACATAACTGTGTCAAATCAGATTCACTCGAGTCCATGTAGTGTTTCTATATCCTCACCTTTGTGACATGATCTTGTAGGCGTCTGGAAGATAGCAGTTGATGTTCTCCATCTGGAAGGGGTCGGCGTCACAGATCTTGTCATCCGTGCGGCCGTAGTTGGCACTTTCGATCATGATGACATCACTTCCTGGACAGCGTAAGTCAATGGGGTAGCCCTCACATGACAGCTCCCTCCGCACCAGGCCAAACGGCAAGGCAGCCCGGCTAAACCCTGGAGACAAAGAGAGCATGGCTCAGCATAGAAATATACAGGAGACGGGACTTTCAAAACACAAGAATAACAGGAATACATTCTTTATAGTTTGTTTCTTTTTTTACAGACAAAAGCCACGAGAAAATCAGTAGCCAGATACTGATTGATACTAAAACTAGTATTGAAAAAGATACTCATTGGAAGATATAAATAGAACAAATTTAGACCTTTCTGTGTTTTTGTCTCTTAATATCAGAACTTGTAGAAAAAGATTATATTTATTATATACATTTTGTAGGGAATCAAAAACTTGGGTATAGAGCATACATAGTACAAATATGAACTTTGAAATGTTAGTTGTGGCAACACTAGTTTTATTAATATAAATATAATATATAATACTTAACACAATTTTCTATGTGTTTTTTTTTTTCATGTAACCTTACCAATAACTGATGCAAAATTAACCTATATTCTCCCTAAAAACAAGCTAGTATCTCCTCCGACAACAAGGACAGGTCAAATGAGACATTTGCAGACACCACATGAGCATACTGCTAATCTCCTCAGCACTCGGACAACTATGTGGTGCGTAATTACAAAGCTCAGTGTTGATTGTTTTAAGTTCACCTCAGTGCACTTGGCCCGCTGAGCGGCTGTCTTCATTTTACTTTGTTGGAATACTTCATCAATTAAGCCTAAATACAATTATCTTTAGTCTGATTGAACACTATAATAGCAATTTGCATTCTGTAGAGCACCTCTTGTTCGCAAAAGGCTACAGTGGTATTTTGTAACGGAAGATAAATGTCATTTTGTATTTCCTGATCGTGGACCAATCAGGTTAAAGACTTCAGGGCTATGAAATAGCAATATACAATAGATATCATCTCACCTTCACAGCACTGTTTACTTGGGTGTGTGCAATCTGCAGGGAATGATTTTTCTTGTCTTTTTGCTCTATTCTTGACAGCAGGCTTACTCGAGTGGCCAACAGGCTAAAGGCTTTCAAATATGATATATTTCAGCCATATTTTATTTTTGCTGCCTTTCTCACCTTCTAGTGTCAGAATCAACTGCTTAAGGTAATAAACAATTTATCAGATATGTTGTGCAAGTATATTTTGAACAAAAATACAAGCCCTTGTGGAAAAAAAGAAAAAAATGACGTGTTAGGGAAGCTGACAAGCAATTTCGAGTTCCTGTCAATGCACTCCAGTGCAGCGTCGTCAAAAGTCAAGCAATACAATGTGTAGTCATGCTATAGGCCTATGTAAAACATCAGTCAACGTCAAATTACATGTCTTAAATAGTGATAAGGAAGGAGCAGATGTGAAAGACAGGGCACTGCTCTCACTGGCTACAACAGTGTATGAGACACTATATAGAAACTGAATGCATATGTTGAATGTGAGATATTTAAATGTGGTTATTTCAAATATGGGGGTAAAAAACATTATGTTTAAGCAGAAAACATACTGTATGCAAGTTTATGTGCAGTTTCATCAAATACTATATCTACAAATATTCACTTTTATGAGCAGAGCGGCACAAAACACACGTGATGTATTAAATGCATTTTATTGTGTGTTTTTTTTTTTCCTTTTACATTTTATTAAAATGTTGCATATACAAAATGTTAATTCCCTTTACATAAACACATTTGACCCTTGTCACACTGAAAAATTGAACAAACTGATTTTTGATTATAAAATATGAAATATTAAAACCATGAATCATGTAAAAGTTACATTTTGTTTCCTCAAGGTAAGCTAAATTATTTGTTTGCAGTAAGGGTATCTGGTTTAAAACTTTTGCACCAACAATAAAATAAAATGTGGTGATTTGACTGTTTGTAATTACGACAATAATACATGTGGTTACTGGTTTGTAAGCTATACTGAGGTTTGTTGAAGCTTCTCATTTTGGTTGGTCACATAATTCATCTCTGGAAAAGGTAAAATCTCCATTATAAAACTTTCTATGCCCGTTTAGCATCTCTGCCGTGTCTCTTTGGGCTTAGTTTTCCGGCTATATTAATACCACAGTCTTTTCACGGCAGATCTGTAGATTTTTCTCTAGTCCTTGGTGGTTTCCTCTTCCCAATTATGACAATAATAAATCTTAAGTTTTAAAGCACTTGATTAATTGGTGGAACATGCCGGCTGTTTAAAAATACAGAGATCCCTGCTGCTGTAAACCACCAAGTCTCCGAGGATGTAATGAATTCAATTTAAATGAATAACTCTCCACTATCATTTTCACATGTCGCATCATCAAAATAGATCTGGCCTAATTACACTGACAGATGGAAATGAAATGCAAATATCATGCATTACAAACATTTACAGATTTATGGAGTGATTTGCAGGACTAGTACTCAGGTAAAAATGTCAAAGTACTCTTCTGACAATACTTCTTGAATCAGATTTTATTCCTTTTGATATTTTGTCCCTGGGGATGTCGCAATATCTAAATTTTATGTTTCGATTATTGTGACAAGAAACATAATGATTTAAAATTATTTATAATTGTTGACACCGACACCAAACTCAAATCTGAATGAAAAAGTTTGTTAATGTGACACAAACAGCCAGATAAGAAAGTACTTTACAATTACGTTTACTTTTTATTGTGAAGATTGAATTGAAACGGCTTATTTTTACTTAAACATTCTAATGATTATTTTATTTTATTCTGTTCTTACAATTAGACTGTGTAAATAATCCTGGTATCCATTTTTGTCCAAACACACAAATCATATTTAACTGGGACTCAATGTGGCTGATATTTGTTTAAAATGCACTAACTTCGCATGCTACAATATCAAAACGGCATGGTCCAAAAACTTTGCCTCAAGTTCTGTAGTTTCACAGTGTGATTCTCTCGCTGCTAATCCTCATTCAAATTCTTGTTTACAGAAGTTTGCATGGGTCAGTGAAGCAGTCGTCATGTACTTGGTGAGATCCGCCCGTTCACTCTGGCCTAGTTTGCAGCTGCATATGATCTACTTCTTGGGCCATGTTTAAGTCCTCTGGGTTTGATCTCCAAATCCTCCTCCAAAACCACGGATGCTCACTGTGTCCCGGGAACGCTGCTAAAACACTTAAATGAGTCGGCAAGGCTGACTCTACTTCTGCTTCTACAATTTAAAACAAAGTACAAAAACAGGCTGACGCAACGTGTGCTACAAAACATGGAACAACCCAAAAAAAAGTACTCGCAACTTTACAAATGCGCTGATGGCCTAACTCGAAAAATATGATGTTTTTCAGTTCAAATATCTGCAAATCAAACTAAATGGGCCATGCTTAAAGGACATTTTATTTGTCAGCACGGTTTAGACCTGACAGAGCCAAAGCGTGGTCATAAACAACAGTGGACAGCCTCTCTCTCTCTTCATTGATTGTGCTCGAGGCTGGACTACTTTTTCACTCCACTGTTGACGGGTATTTTTGGAGCAGGAGATATGTGAATGACACAGACAGAATCAATAAAGGGACAAAGATAACCCCACCGGCCATTCACACACACGTTAAAGGTGCATTGTGTAACTTTTCTCGTGGAGGGCCTGTCAAATGCTTTTCTTCGTCGAGATGGCATTATTTGTCTGGAATGTTGCACAGTATGGTATTGAACTTTTCTATCTTCACAGAGGCCAAACCAGACAAAGTTACAGGTCAGATCTATGGAAAGACAACCCCACTCACCGAAAAAAATGTCTGTTTTTCTATGTATTTTTCAGCTATAAACCACCTGTTATTTAATAAATGTAAGGTAGAGCTGCTTAATGTCATACTGTGGCAAGTGAAGGAAACCCAACCAAAAAGATCTTAACTTTTGCTGTTAAATCATTATATGCTGCTAAGTCTATCACAATAACACATTTTTAAATGTGAAATATTGCTAAATATAAACGATAATATTGAAACAAATTAATGCCACTGACACAAAAACCCAACAGCAGATTCAGACCACAAAATCTATTCTAAATCTACAATGTTGTGACAAAAAACATGAGCTGTAATAAAGAAAAAGCAGAATTAAACACTTACTGTACTGAGTTTGTGTCTATAATGAATAACAGAAGTTATTGATTCAACCTTCTACAGCTCAAATATATATATATATATTTCCCAGTATTGCAAAGAAAATGTACACATATAGTAATTATCGTAACTGGTCTATATGTTGCACTATTGATTATATGCATGAAGATATTGTTGCAGTGTAACTATGAGTCCATACAAAATTATAGACACCACATGTTTTGTAAATGTGCTATCTCATTATATTGACAGCATAACTGCATTATGATTTGGTACTTTTTTTGTAATAGTGGAAATTTTTTTGTTATGTCTGCACTATGTCAAGATTTGTGCTGTAAAACTTGTAGACGATTGAATTATGAACAAAAATTACACAAATTAATTTAAGTGTTGTGTTACATTCTTCAAATTATTTATACAGCTCAAAAATCTTTAACAATATTGTACATTTAAAATACTTTTGTGGATAATTCTGCTTTGCGGTCTGGTTTCAATATTATTGTTTATCGTCTATATTGACTTCAGCAGTGTATTGCATTTCAAACTGTGTTCTTGTGACAGTCCAAGTCAAAATCATGATCAAATTGTAAATAAAATTGAATAAATAAAAACATGGTGATTTTTCTTTTCACAATAATAATACAACTAAATAAAATATGTAAAAAAATATAATCCCTTTCAGCTTGAATCCCCTTGAACCCAGTCATGCTCAGATCCTTCCGCTTGTGAGGTCTTTATTCCACACAAACCAGACATACAATATATTCCCTCTTCTTCCACTATTGCTTCAATTACACAACAGAGAGCAGCTATCAATAGTGCTGTAATAGGGTCAACTGTCAGATTGACAATAGGATTATAATTGAAAGATATTATTGATCTTTTCACAATGACCCAGAAAGTGCAGACCCCAGCTTTAAAACTGCCGAGCGCTTTAGTGCTAAGTGTATTTCAATGTCAAAGCATTAA